AAAAAAAAAATGCCAACAACTGCCAATAAAGTTGTTGGCTGGTTATGCGAAATGTATATTTTTTATGTAGGTTGATGTAAAACGAACAAAGGGTGGACGGTGCAGATGCGAAATTGCATACATAGCTTCTTATATAAGTATGTACATACACATGCGCCACGCATCCAATGGCCTATCACACTTCGAAAGAATTTGTGGGCTTCAGACGCCCTCTGGTGATAGCACTTAGTCGATGCTTTAGCATTTCCGGATTCCGCATGAATTAAAATCGTCCAAAAAAGTCTCGCTGACACTTTAATCAAAATACTTTCCTTTTTTCGATTATGTTGTGAAAATACCTCTAAAAACAATGTGTCTCCTAATTACCGCGAAACTTTTAAGTCTACTACGAGCGGCTCAGTTGAGTTTTACTTAGTATAGACCTCTGTAATTTCAGGGTTACGCTTTCTTGATCATTCAATATTTAGTTACTTATTGTTACCCACTCTCACTATATACTCAGAAGCCAAGTGGTTTGTAAATCTCTGCGCTCTCTGACCTTAGAAGGTTAAGCATTGATAGACCTCGAGAAAGCCAAGCTACCCCAACCAGGGCTAGGTATCCGCTTGTCCAAAATCAAGAAGGCTGAAGTGCTTGTAAGGAGTTCGGTTCCTTTGGCATATTTGTGAGACATAAAAGAAGGAAACCATGATACATAAGGACTTTACTGTGGGGGCCTTTCTCGGCATTTATTGGCATCTAACAATATCCTTCCAAAGACAATCTTCAGATCCCTTGAAAATCTATGGGTCGAAACTGGCTTAAACTGATAAGATCCCGTGCTCTGTGACGGAACTGTCGTGCCAGATAGAGACAGTGTACTTTACACGGTGGTGTTCTCTGACCTCTTACTGTGGAAGCGGGGATTATAACTTAGTGGATGGCCTAATGATCTGGTCCAATCCGTTTTTGAACCTACTGACTAGGTCGCCGGCGGCCCCGATGCAAATCCTAATAGGACGGAACTCGACTTGTTCACAACGAACAATAAAACATTGCACGCGATTCTTCCCTTTAATTGGAGGAAAGTGCACCTGGAGCTTTGTGATAGAGTCAAGTACTTGGCATTGATTCTAGGTGGTGGAAAGCCTACATTGAGGCCTAACGAGGACGAAGAAAGCATCCGCGGCTCTCCACCGGTACACTGGGCAATTAATATAAGCGCACACAGTTTCATGGAGTTTTCATCTGGGGAAAGGCACCAGAGAAGACTACAGTAGTGAGAACACTGGAGAGGCGACAACGAACCGTTATAGTGGGAATCAGAGTCCTACTAAAGATCACTCTCACTAAAACACTTAACGTCATGTTAGACATGTACAGGTAACAAGAGCTCTGTTTCTTCGGACACCCATTCCAGGCCTCCCCCCACCCCCCTCTCACAAAGCTAATGGATGCACCAATCACTTCAACTAACAAAATAACGGTTACTAATGCAGCAAGCAGCAAAGTATTGCTAGCAGCCATCAAACTCACCTTTACTGGTAATTTTCATAGCCTACTTATAGGCGCTCACACGTGATTCGTTACATTCCACTCTACTTCAACTTATCGAATCTACTTTTTCTCTTATCGCTTGCACAACTCCTTTAAAATATATCTCTCTTTTGTTTCCCTTTTAGGTGGGCCCATTATCATGGCATGCAATGTACAACCACAACAACAACCACAACAACATCAGCGGCAAAACGAACAGAACAACTCATTAGAGCATCAATGTATTAGGCAACTGCAAAAGCAACAGCAACAATCATCTTTGCAACAACGTCATCAGCAACAGCAACATTATCGAAGTCAGCAGCAGCATCTTCAACAACAACAACAACAACAACAATTGCAGGCAATCAAGCAGCAGCGCAGTTCGGCAGAATGCCAACAATTGACGCAACAGCGAACGCGGAGGCACAGGGGCCAGCGAGAGCTAATCTCGAGCTGGCGCTGCTCGTTGCATGCAACGCTTAAATTGTTGCAACGACCCTCGACCACCGTAACGCTGTTGTTGCAATTGCTGGTGTTGTTGTCGGCAAGCACAACGGCACGTGGCGAAGGCAATGTCGGTNTTACTATATACATATGTATGCATGTACGTGCATGTGTACTTACATAAGCTTGCAGCAGATAAAGCGATTGTTACAATGAAACGCCTTGCGGCTGAGTGCTCGCAGTTGCATTGAGGTTTTGAGGAAACAGCATGAAAAATTTCAATATGCATTAGGGAAGCCAATTTGTGTGGTTTTGGGAAATTTACCTTTATAGCCGCAAATTAATTTGGTTTCAAAGGCTGGAGTGAATGCAATTGAGGAGCGCTTAGTGGTAAATGACCATCGGATTTGGGGGTTGGATTGACGTTTTGATGTATTAAAACTTTTTTTTTTAAATTTTACTTTCCTCCAACTGATTTTTCAAAAACCGTAGTACTGTATAACTATACACCCCTTGGGCAATAAATGTGCTTGATTAATGCAATGGTATTGGTTTTTTTGCGGAAGTTGAATGAAAACTATTTGCCTTTATTGAAACCACGAGCCATGTAATGCAGAAATACGCAGACGCTGGCCTGATTCAGTTTAATTAACGTAGTTCCCTTAACAAACAGCAGTTTTAGTCATAGCCAGCCAATATAAAGGCTGGCATAATACCTTGAGTACCAATAATAAATTTCCCACAGTATAAAAAAGGGTGCTGTTCAGAAAAATATTTTAATCAAAATCAGAAAATTTCTTGTCTCCCAATTTAAGGAGGAAATCTCGTATCTCCCCGATTAACAGGGATTATTTTAAGTTAATTAAAAGCTTTGGACAATTACCGCATCGCGGCTACCAGCAGTGACGCGCACAAATGGACAAATATAGAAAACTTTTTAAAATTGTATACATCTCTGTCACTTTTGCGACTTAACTAAAGAGAAATATTCTCCTTGAAAGCAGCGCGTGCCATCTGCAGTATAGCTTAGAGGAGTCTAGGCTTTGTTCCCACGGTATGAGCGTATTCGCCCCTCTTCGGTCTATTCTGGACAAGCTGCAGTCTAGTTGTCTAGAAAAAAGTTCGTTGCAAAAACCTCTTTGAATGTATCAATATTTGTCTGCCAAACTTCGCATCAGACGGATTACAATCTTTACAGGGTCTTTGTTCTGTCATCTGTTTTGAGGCGACCAAAATTTAGGTATTGATCAGACATTTCCAAAGAATTTTCGTGAGACCTTAGCTTAAACCACACATATAGCCCGCGTTCCTAAGGATATCTTTTCATTCTTCAATTAGATAGGAACTATAACGTTAAGAAAATTCAGATAGCGTGTATGGGCTGTATTCAATAAGAAACTGTTTACAGGCACCAGCTGCTATTGGCGCAACGGGTGCAATAAGATACAACCAATTGAGGTTCTGAACATTCTGCTAGCTACAGCTACAGGCAGCACTGTCCATCGGCGAACAGTACCATCCTAAGTTGACTTCCGTTTGTATTAAAAGCGCTGCCCTCTCGCTTTACAATTGCAAACTCCTAGACCAAATTCAAAACCTGCACAAAATTTCCAAGCCACAGTAGCTGGCAGACGAGACCTAATCTCACGTCTTGTTTTTTATCAGATAATTCGCGTGACCTACAATTTTTAGCGCTTCTGAATAGCTTATGTTTTTTTTTTTTTTTAATGAGATAAACGAGGGATTTTCCATTGCCTACGTAGGAACGAATGTACATACAAAAGTAGAAATATACTTATTTTTGTATCATCTCGATGCTGCCTCGCATCGAACTGGAGTCCAACTGAGCGATGGAATGCAGCGCTGGGGTTAGCTATATCGGCATTAAATACATTTAGCCTCTCAGTGATCCTTGTAGAACAACTTATCAAAGTCACTTATCAAAGCGGCAGCAACTTCGTTTTATATTTGCATACAAACTGTGGAAATAGTTAGTGTCAGTTAATTAAGTCACTGTGTATCTCTCGCAAATACATAAATATATGTACTTATGCATCTAAATATATATATAGTATAAAACATGATTCAATTAATGCAAAATATTCAAAGCAAAGTACAAATGGAATTCTCGGCAGCGCAAACACTCGTTTCCCTATTTTAAAATTTTGTAAGTAAATAGTGCTTGTCTTCTTTTCGAATTTAAAATATTTAGTTACAACTTAATCATCACACAAGCAATGATATTTAATTTCAAATATAATGAGAGCAAATGAACGTAGAGTTACCTAATTAAATAATGCTGTTTACCCAGTGAGTAACTAAATATGTATGTATGTATAAGTATATATGCGAGTATACTAACCATGTTTCACGTACAAACCTTCCTATAACTATATATACATACATACATACATACATACATAAGTAATAGCTGCATTCGCATACATTTTGCAAATAATCCACAACGAATGCAATTTCAACAGAGTTCGTGCACCAAATTCATAAATAGGCGAAGAAGGTACTATGCATATATAAGTGAAGTGGGTTTGAACAGCACTGAATTTGAAAGAGATGGTACTTAGGGGGGGCGGTGTACATTAGAGGAGAGAGAGTACTGAGAACTGAGTAAACTGGACGGTATTAGGCGGACAGCTAGCTGTGGTAGACAGTGTGATGGCGGTACTAAATATGGCAATAAGTAATATCAAAAGGAATAGGTAAATCAGGTGGGTTGATTTACGACATGGCATGCAGTAGAAGAAGAAGCATATTGCTGCTGAGCGCCTCACTAACTGGTGCAGACATTGTATGTGTGTATATCTAAATATGAAATCAGGTCAAATGTGGCACAACATTTTAATGAGCTTCCGAAAATTTTCCCATGGCGAGAATTAAAATTATAAAAGCGTTGAGAGTTGAGAAATAAATGCAGAAGAAGAATGAAACAAGTGTATATGTATGTATGTATGTATGTTACTGGATTAAATGTTATGAAGCATGCAGTGCAATTTGTGAGGATAGCAGAGTACAAATGAGAAGTGTATGCAATAAAATACCGGAGAATGTTTGCAACAAAATTTAAAAAAATCAGCGCCAGCTTTTGGAAATCCCAACTTTTATATAAAAAATAACCACAAAAGCAGTCGCCTTAAATAAATAGCTATTAAAAATTGACCCAATTTTTTACGCTGTAAAACTGCCTAGCCCGAAATGCATTAAAGATTCAGCTTAAAAAGTTTGAAATTTTGTTGAAAATTTGTTGAATTTTCCTAAAGTTAAAGCTTAGACAATATTAAAAAAAAAAAAAACTAAAAAAATATTAACTTGAAAATCTTGTGAACATCAAAAAAAAAATCATGACATGGTCACTTGCTTATATATTTAGTTCAACTAAATATGTACATATGTAGGAATATGTGTGTATTATATACTTTTTATTCTAAATATATTTACGTGAATAGTATAATTAACTATTTTAGTTGGGCATAGTCATAAATCATGGATAGAGTATAAAGCACAAACCCTTTAAGGTTATGATCAATTTTGATAATTTTAACAATTTAAACGCCTTCGTGAGGCAACAGATTCTTCAGGTTGTCAAATGGGAAGTTACTGAAAGGGGACTATTATTGAAATTAGTTCGCCTCATAAATTTTAATTTTCATACACGTTGCGATGTACTTAAACCCCTTACCTTTTCTCGTTGGCGCGGTTAGATCAAGACATTCCCGGATAGAAAAATATTATTGGCCTCCTCGTCATCGTTGAGTCGATCAAATATTGGGGCGTATTCTTGCTTTCGTACGAATCTAAAATCATGAAAACTCATTTTATTTGCCTTTTTGCATTGGTTCCCCAGTATCGGAATTGGGGATTGCTCACCCGTGGAGAAATCCGCTTAATTGAGCTCGTTGATCGGTGCGTTGTGAAACTCTGTAATTTGTGGCTATTATCGGGAGGCCAGTGCCGCGTGATGGTAAATAAAAAAATACTAAATATTACTCTCCAGGCTGTATTCCTGACCGCCCGTTTCTAGCCAATTCAAGGAAATGCATACTAATTTCTCTTTGGATTATTCCAAAACTGAAAAGCAGCGCCACTGCTTCGCATTTATCCAAACAAGATCTTGCTTTTGCCAATTCATCAGCCGTCTCATTGCCTTCAATGTTTCTATGTCCGTAAGCCCAGAAGAGTTAAACCATAATTGACTCAGACGCTGAGCGCAATTCCATTTTTTATTTCTTAACCAGCTTCGATTTTGGTAACCGGAGGTACTATTGCCATATTGTTGCTTTATTTCTGAACCCGACTCTATTACCTAGAATTTCCGCTCGGAAGGCTGCTTGTATCCTTTCCCAACCATAGAGACAGAGCAACACCAAGTTTCTCAGAGTAGACTCGCGCTCTTTCACAGCAATCCATCTTGGCTTCGTCGGATGAAAATAGCCTCGTCCTCGGCTACTACGGATGGGAATCGCACGCTAGCAGGTTACTGACGAAAAATGCCAATATTATTTATAGTCTATCGTTCTTCCTAATACGTTTTCGTTAATCTCCAGCCCGCGTCCCCAAAGTATCTACATGGTCGCTAAAACCTCTCCTTGAAGCTGAAAGAAAGTCTTGCCCAAAATGGATTGAAAATCAAAAAGGGGCAATATATATACTTTACTGTGGAATATGTTCGACAGTTCTTTTGATATCGGCCGTTAAAATCAACACTTATGATTTAAAAATGGTCAACTTTTTAATGGTAAGTATCCTCTCTTACCCTGCCTGCTTACTTTTTGTCAACTGAAGTTTTCATTAATCATGTTTGCCCCCAAGGCTTTTGCTTTGCGCACAGAAGTATAAAACTAAATAAATACTCACAACTGCCAGAAAGTGAAATTCTCAACTGCTGCAATGCATCAATTATCCAAATGCAAAAACACACATTCGTATACATATAAGGTTATTTTACATGACGATTGAAGGCAACTATCGAGCAGTGCATGTGGCAAGCAATAGATATGCATGTGTGTGCCTTTGGAAGTTACATGAGTAAGTGTATTTAAAAATGCATATGCCAGCACATATGGAAATGGATTTAAATATATGCCAAGCTGTGCATAAGTACTAACCAACTAACATTTCG